TTGATGGTGAATTTTTCTATCATAGAACTTGACTCGATTAAATTTGCATACTAGGACAACGCGTAGTCACTTAAAATCACGTCATCTTTCATTTTTACTATACTTTTATAATGTACAATAAAATTGTATTTTATACATATATATATGAACATCGTGATTGATCGAATGTTATAGGTTTCAATGTTTTATTACTTTATGATTATTATAATTATAATTACTGTTCTATTTATTATACAATTCGTTATTAAATTATATATATATATAAATAATGCAATATTATTATATATTAAATTGTACAAATTATAAACTTTGTTTAAGAATGTTATAATATAAATAAATATATATAAACTGTCCGCGTAAGTTTAGTATTAAATTTAAACGTTTTTTTTTTTATACGAAATTATGTTAGAATTATATACAATTAAATAAATTAATATTCATATTATCTTGATTTTCTCAAACTATTATATATATATTTTGTACGTGCTAAAAAAATACCAATCGTGAAGAAATATCATAAAGAAGATGATTTTATAAAAATCATTTCTAATTAACTTTGTTATATATATATTATCTTTATAGAATCACTGTTACTCGATATCTAAAAAAGACTAAGAAAAACTATTTTTGAACGTCATACTACGTATGATTAACTGGATTCAGTACGTTTACAGTTAGGTAGCATTGACTGAACTATGTGCCCATTCCTCGCGTTCCTTGATTAGAGTCAGCTGCAACATTCTTTATATATATCTTATGCCACACCTACGTTCCTACCATTTGCACGGTTTTTTATTCTTTTTGTAAATTTTCCTTACTTTTTCTTTACCTCCACTTCTTTTCTCCTTCCTTTACTTAAATGTTCGTTTTAACGAATAAATCATATTCGCAATATATGCAAAAATAAATTAATACGACGATTAGAAATGGAAAACGAAAAAGGAACAAAAAAGCCGTGAAGAAATAAAAAGAAATAAATAAAAAAAAAAAGAAGAAAAAAAAGCAGCAAAATTCCAAGCGTCCTTTGAAGGATAGTGAGAAAAGGTAAGCAAGGACGATGGGTACTTTTTAAATCGCCGGTTTTACCAACGCACCGGACTTTTCGCATTCCACGGTGTAAAACTTGGCACGTACGTA